GTGAAATCCATTTTTTATTTTCCTTCCACTTCACAATTATGTGCCACTTTGTGTTGGTCTATCACATAAAATCCCAACAAATATATAAAATACATTTACATTTTTGGTAGTAACATGACAAAATGTGGAAAATTTCAAGGGGTATGAATACTTTTTCAAGGTATATATATATATATATATATATATATATATATATATATAGTCTACAATTACCATCCATTTTGCGCTTCAAATTATTCTTTAAAGTAGGTATTCTACTCTCAAAAGACACCAGGGACATTGAGATAGAAAGTTATTGACAAAAAAAAAAAATATATAATTCTTTTTAGTTCAATAATTTAGCTAACGAAAGAAATAAACAAAATAATTCCAAGCGAAAATAGTTAACAAAAAGTGCAGTACCTACTGTTGACCTGTAGGTGTCGCTGTCATAAAACCAAAATTTATGCTACCAAAACACATAACTAAAGAAAAGATGAACTTTAAAAGGTTATTAATAATGATGAATGAAATGACAGCACCACCATTGCCGGAATATATCAGTTATAACAATTACTGAATTCACTTTCATGGTTCAAAAAATGCAGCGTTCCTCAGTTCAAGGATGATGAAGGCCATTTACAAATCAGGAAAGTTCTTGTTTTTTTTTCATACATAGGACTGATACAGTTTTACCTAGTCTTTTATAAACCCCCAATCCTTACTCTAGCAATGTATTCATCTACTTTTCTCTTCAGAAGGGCGGTGCCATACTTGTTCAGGCATCATCCAGGGTCACCATCTATCTACTGGACTGGGATACTCAGCGGTGAACAATCCTGTAAATGCCTGTGCAGTTCTTGGCTGTGTTTACAAATGTCTGAAGCAGGTCAGCCCTTGCTGCACTCTCTCTTTTTGTGTCTTCCTACAAAAGTCTAAGGTTGCAGTCTAATCGCCGTGGAAGATAAGACTAAGAAAATGATTCCTCCTGCCTGTAGCACACAGATGGCATCATCTCAGCCAAGGCAAAGTTACTGAGAGGAGTTTAAGGATGACTTAATCTCATATTACCCCAACTTCCTGTCTTTTAATCAGCACAACAGGAAGTGAGGGTAAGTGTCTCTAAAGGAACATTACATAGCAGTTAAAGCATATGTAACCCCCTTCCTAAGTAAAACAACCCATACAGTTTAAAACTGAAATAAAGGTAAAACATTTGTGTATACATATAAAAACATTAGAAATACAAGTGATCACATAGCTGTAACAGTTCTCGGCTGCATAGAGAGGTGAGGGTGGAGTAACGGCAGTACACTGGCCTTCTCAGTGAATGGCTGTGTGTGTTTTTTTTTTTTGGGGGGGGGGGCTCAGCGCAAGTCTGATCAATGGAGGAGAGCATAGCTAGAGAACTGACCACACTGTGCTCTTATGCCCAGTGTGGTCAGTTTTTGATAGGGAAGCACAGTGACTGGCAGGAACACCAGGGATGTCACACAAAGAAAGTAATACAAATAGAACAGGATACTTTTTCATACAAGTACATGGTACAACAGTCACATATCAGGAATACGAAATGTTGGCTTTACATATTATTTAAACAGGGTTCTAACCCTTCCATACTCCATCCAAAACTAAGAAAAACAGTTTTGGCTGGACATGTACTTGAAGTCCTATTAAAATGAAACTTTACCCACAACAACTTGATAAAAAATAATGTTCTTTAGCAAGGAACATACACTCCAGATTACTATTTATGCTACCAACGTAAAAGTGTGTGTGTTGTAAATTGCCTCCAGCATTGTTCCTGTTTCTTTGTGGTGGAGGATGCCATTTTGTTGAAGCCCAGAGCCACTGAGCAGTAGTAAATTTTTGGGGCTACCAGCACATTGGCCTCTAGATTTTCAGCAGAACCAAAAAAAATACAGAGCAACTGAGCATGTGCAGAGCAGGGCGAAACAGTGTATTACTGGATTTTAAAATGTATAGGCACTTATTTTTAATGTTTTACATAGCTATACCTGCAAAAGGGGCCAACCTGAAGTGACCTAGCAGGACTTAATTTTCTGACTAAATTTCCATTTTAATCTAAATTTTTGTGATGCTTAAACCAGCTTAAAAAAAATCTGCGTATTTCACTGAGGATCAGAGCTAGATGTACACTGTACACTCAAACAAACAACATTTTATTAGATCAAATGTATAAAATCCATAATATTTTAAAAAACGAATTAAAAACTAAATAAAATTCCATTAAAATTTCCCTCACATTGAATAAGGAGGATACATTCGGAGGTATTAACTTGCTTGAGTAGGAGGCAGGAACTGATTTCAGCGCACACTGTGAGCTTCTCCTAATGTGCATTAGAAGCTGCATCAAGTCAGATAGACACCCGTCTTGTTTCCTGACCGGAGGACATCCAGCATCATCTAGCACTTTCCTCCACAGCCTGACTGTCCCTGGCCCGCCCTTTTCGTTTGAAATTAGTTATTTCAATCAATCATTCAACATGTGGAATATACCTAGGGTGGTTTGCATACAAATGTAGTCTGCTGAAGGAGGTATTTAACCATTTCAATACTGGGCACTTTCACCCCCTTCCTGCCCAGACCAATTCTCAGATTTCAGTGCTGTCGCACTGATGGGCACTGTTGGGCAATAATGAGGCTGTACTGATGGGCACTGATGAGGCTGCACTAATGTGCATTGATGAGGTTGCACTGATTGGAAGCTGCACTGATGGACACTGATGAGGAAACACTGATAGGCACTGTTATGCTGCACTGATATGCTGCACTGATGGGCACTGACTGGGCTGCACTAATAATCAGGGCACTGCTGATCAGTGCCCTGATTATCAGTGTAAACCATGTACTGACAGCCTTGCTGGTTATCAGTTTTCCTTTCCTCACACAGCCACAGCGTGAGCCACAGTGTGAGGAAAGGGCTGCCGATAACCGGCAAGTCTGTTCATATGTGAGCAGCTGTGACTGGTCCTTTACCCCGATCAGGGATCAGCTGTGTCACATGCTCCGCGGGCGCACAGGGGGGCAGGTTCTGGGAAGGCGTCCATGGACACCCGCCCAGAACTGGACGACCACACTGCAGCCGTCCTTCAGCTATAGCACAGTCGGCAAGTGGTTAATAAACCTGCCTTCACTTTCTCCCCAGTCACCAACTCTGAATTATCTTATAAAGGGCCTACATGCTCAGACTTGACCTTTTTACCATTAATACATTTTAAAAAATGTTGGGGAGATTGTTTTACTATCTTTCACACTCTAATTCGTTTTGAATTTTTGTGGCCTTTATTTTCTTTTTACATCTTTTTGTATATTCTTTCTAATTTTCAAATGTTTCTTTATTTTTATGTCATTTAAATACCTTTTTCTTTTTTTTTTTTTAATTTTGGCTGTAAACCACATTGGTTTTTCTTTTAGCCTTGGAGGCAGCCCTCTCAACTTGGAAAATTTTCTCTCTTAATATTAAGTGTTTTTATCTGTCCGGTATGTGCTTGTTGTTTACAACTTACATAAAATTAAATTGTATTATGGTCACTGATACCCAGATGTTCTTTTATATGACCATTAGTAATAAGCTCTGCAATGTTTGAGATTACCAGGTCCAGCAGAGCATCATTTCTAGTTGGAACCTATAAACTGTACCATGAAATTGTCTTGTAATAGGTTTATACATTTCAACCCGTTTACTGTTCCAAAAGTTCCATTACTCCAGTCAATTTCAGGGTAGTTACCTGCCAGATGATTTTATTTATGTCCATCCAGACCTAAGATTTAGACTGGACAGCCCTGTCTGTCAGGAGAGGTTACCAGGTGAAGGAGAAACCGCAGACCACAGCTACAGGTAATCATTTGGACATGTAGGTTTTGAGACACGTTAAACCATGTATAGACAGTGGCTAATAGTGGTCTGATGGCTTTTTGACATTCCTTATCTTTCACAGGCAGATACAGATTTTTTTCTCGCTAACTATTTAGGAGCATTGCTTTCTCTTCCCGTATATGGTCCCTGGAGCTTTGGGCTGGTTCTCAAATGTCCTCTCTATTGTGGTACCATCATTTGCCCTCCGCACCTACTGACATGTTTGGGAGAGTGTATCATCAAACTTAATTTTTGTGCCCCTTTTCTTTTTGTGGTCTACTATTTGAATATGTGAGCGAACTAATGTTTACTACTTACCATGTTTGTTACATCTGTCAAAGTATGAGGTTTCATGTCATATTGTATGGTATTATTCTGTGCCTTTAGCAGCTATCTTCAACCGCACCCCTTGAACCCCTGAAGAAGCCACAGTACAAAATGCATCAGACTGGAGAAAGGGCACTCCCTTCTACAGATTGATATATTATGTGATTTATTGTACTATCTATAACATCATTATGTTTTTTTCATCATTATATTTTATTATTCTAAAGAGTTGTTGATTTTGTTCTGAGAGAAGGTATCAGCACCGTTAAAATCCCAATTCTCCTTTTTTCCTTTTTGACTGGTTTTTCATAAATAATACAGGGATGTGGTGACTGAATTTACCAACTGGATCGGTTATAATTTTTTATTAGAGAAGCAGCAGACTGATGATCAGTTCTCTCTCCTCTTATCAGCATTCTCCTTACATTATGTTGTGTCTTTTATATGTGCCTGGAGTTTAATTTAAGGTGGGAATAAGCTCCAAAAATCCAGAGTACTACATTAAGAAGTTCTCATTTCAGGAGACCCCAAAAAATATAAGAAGCCAGTGGCTGACGGCTAACCAGATTCCACTAACGACTGAAATATTACATTTGGGTGAGACAGCCTCTAAAACAGCTCTGTAAGGAAGAATAAAAACCCTTAAAAGTGGGAAAGATATCACAACAAATGTTTCTGCATTTGTAAAAGACCCGTCTGCTGCATCAAAAAACAAAGAGTACGGCTATGGTGACGCTCTCGGTGGAAGCAATGGAGTTGGAGGGGTCAGGTCGGATCTCCCATACCCCAGACATGAAGAGGACATTGTGCATACTTGGTTCCTGAAGGAGTAGTGTCTCACGGGGTCTTCCGCTGCCAGCGAGATGCTGCTCAGGAGGATGAAGAAAAGTATCAAGTTGGTGAAGATGTTGTTGTTGACAATACGGTGACAGTGGAGGCGGAACCTGGGAGACAAACAGGAAGGGGAAAAAATGGGCCATTAGAGAGAGAAACCTTCCGTGGAGGGGAGGGACTTTGGAACGGAGAAAGAGATTTAAAGGCAGACATTACATTTCTTACAAACTTGTTAAAAGAATACTTTGTATCCATCTTCTTTGAGAGCCCCTAGTCTAGACATGAGAATACCACTGTTAACAGAAATATGGAAGTTGCAGGGCTGACCTCTCCTCATGAAAATGTTATATGCCCTGCTGTCAATGCTAGGTACACTGCTTGCATTAAAAAAAATAATTTTAATAAAGTATTAGTAAATACAGAACTGCATTATTTTATATTTGCCCAGAGATAAACTTTAAAATGCAATTTCATCCTGCTCTTCAGACATGCACACATAGATTCTTCTCCTCTACTTATATTGTCTACTCTGATTTCACTGCACACTGTGACCTTCTCATAGTTTCCAGTAGAATCTACAGCAAGTCAGATAGATTCCACCTCATTTCATGGCTGGAGGTTGTCCAGCATCATGTAAGCACTCTATTCCTCAACCTTCCTGTCGCTGGCCCACTCCCTTCATTTATTGGATTTCAGTTCTTTCAATCATGGAGGCTCAGCATATAGGGAGTTCTGTATGCAATTGTAGTTTACCTACTGTATTAAGGCCCACTCTTCCAGACTGGGATCCACCCATCAAGGTGTTTTGATATTTGCCTAACTCCTCCCAAAAGCCAGCCCAGTGATGTTTTCAGTATGCTATGTACAGCACCCTGCTGATCCCTCCCACCAGCCATGATCTGCCTGCATTGAATAGAGAAGTACAGAGATCCACTGATGACATCACTGGGTCCAAACTATCATTAGCAATTTGAGGTGGGGAAAGCAGAAATCAGGGAAGTGAAAATATAAGCAGAATTCACTTCAGATTTAAACTCCTCCCATTCTCAATCTTCACAGCATATGGACTAATTGTTCTGTAGTGCAAGATAAAAAATTGGATAACTCCTTTAAATAAAACACAGGATGTGTGCTCAGGACACTGGACAGCTCTTAATTTCTGGTGGGATCAACAGGTATTTTTTGCTCATAAAAAACAGAAATAACAAAACATATTTAAGAATGAAAGCAAATAAGAGACATTCATTGCTAGGATTTACACACATTTTCAAATTTCAATTTACTGTCAGAACAGATGACTTTTGATTTGCTAGCCTTTACTTTCAGTGTGGCTGATCACAAAATGAGATGAACTCATTACCCTGGATTTTGGCTATTCCAGCTAATGGACATGGTGAATATCTTTTATTAGACGTGGCCAAGTTACTCTGAGTTCCCTTGGCTGGAATCTGTATAAGTGGGACAATCTCTAGCACAGGTCAGTAGCCGAAGGTTTGTACAAAGCAGTTAATTAATAAGGTTATCTGAAGGAAAAAAAGTAGGACAATGTCCCTGAAGGAAGGACACCTATGGAAAGGACAGATTTTATAACATTTAAAGAATCACATTGGCACAAGGGAGGGTCTGAGTGGACAGCAGTTTACCCATACTCAAATGTCCATTTCTAAAATGACTACAGTCATACAGAACTGCAAGATGGATGCCAATATCAGCCGATTTGACAATGAAATAGCCCTTATTGGGCTGTATATATTAACGTTTTGTACTGCATGCATCAAAAAGAGCCATCCAACCCATACAAAAAATGACAGATTGTTCAACTCCCAGTCCTGAAGGAATTATTGATCTGAAAGTGGATTTGTCATCAAATAAATTTTAATGCTAACTTCCTAATGTTAACATGTCATTGTAACAATTCCAGAGATGTGCTACCCCTCACAGAGTTCACATTACTCCTTGACATTGCCTTCCTCTACTTTCTCTTCAGAAGGACAGCACCAATTTTGTTCGGGCATCAGCCCCTGCTGCAGCACTTCACCTGGTGACTTTCTGCAATGTTGCAGCCTGATAATTGTGGTGAGAGAAGAAGGAGGGAAATTCTCCTGTGTGCAGCAGACTGATGACACCATTTCAGCCTACGCAAAGTCATTGACTGGAGCTGGAGGGCACCGTTTTAGGGCTGGTTCACACTAGCTGTACAGGAAAGTGTTCTTGTTTGGGCCGGTGTCTGTGTTGGAAGGGCTTCGTTGGGGAGGGGTCCCTTTTGCATTTTTATAAATACAAGGCATTATTTACTCTTTTTTTTTTTATCTTTATTGAAATGTCACAGTGTGACATTTCATTCATTTATATGTGGTTCATAGGAATGCATGAGAGCTGCAGAGTGTTGTGTAAAAATACAGATATGTTGCAATTCTGCAAAACTGCTGCCTGCATTCCAGGTTGAACAAGGCAAGCAGAAAACGTGTACAGAAAAATGCTTATCTCTGCACAAGCGTGAACAAGTCCTTAAAATAGAACTAAAGGTAATTTTGTTTTTATTTTGGATGGAGTAAGGGAGAGTTATAACCCCTGTCAGTTTTTTGCCATTTGTGTCCCATTGAGGAGATATCCCTTCACTTCCTGTCCAATAACCAAAATAGAAAATGAGAATAAAACCCTATAATGTGAGGGATTCTTTGGTTGTTACCAGTCACCAAAACTAGTGCCCCATTGGAAGATTTCTCCTCTATTCCTGTTCTGGGGACAATCCAAAATTTCGGATTTCCTTTTACTTTCACTCTTTGACGATAAGAGTAAATACGACAAGTAGAAAGGATTCATTTCCCTAATGGGGACACAGGAAGCAATAAAAACCCCTGCATTCTAATCCCTCTCCATTGTATCCAAAACTAAAAAAAAATAATTTTGCCTATAGTTATATAGGTGGAGTTTTTCTGGAAAATTATACTGTTATTATATATTGTTACATGTCAGGAATGTATTCATCATTCCCAAACACATATTTAGGTTTTCTGCACTGTGAGCTCCATCTTCTGTAAGACATTTGCAAACTTATCTAAATGCAAGCTGCATATGTACAGTATCAGTTTATTATGGTAAAGTCAGCATATCCCACTAAGCATGATTTTGAGAGATTTCTGAAAGCAACCTACATATTTAAAGAACAGAAATAGGTAAAGTTCTATTATAAAGTTTGCTATCTGCCTTGCACTGTCTCTAGATGTCCTGGAGGGGATCTTTTAAACATCGGAGCTTTACTGTATAAGTTTGGCATTACCTGTTGTCTGGACGGAAGATGAAGAAAGCAGTGGCTTCGGGCATCGGAACTGCCTTCTCCTTAATGTTCAGTTCAGACAGAGGGCGGGGACGAGGGCCAACAGGCATCTCTGGCTCCTCCTCTTCCTCCTCCCCTGTGGAACATAAAATAATTTTATTTAAGAGAAGATTCTTCAATATCTTCCAGGCTAACTTTGCATGTCATTCAGTAAAAGAAACTTTTTTTTTTTTTAAACAGCAAAATTACATCTATAAGCTGTGAGACAGAAAAGATAATACAGATACAGTTAAGATCACACGATCAGTTCACCATTTATTTAGAGATGAAACAGTGCTACTGCAGGGCTCAATTACAAAGTTCATAAAAAAAATAGAATAGTACAATCTTTAATGTCTATTGCAGGGGTCCAAACTCCAAACTTACTAAACAAAGGATCAGTTTATTCTCCTTCATACTTTATGGGGGACTGTGGCCAACGAGATTGGAATAATTTGTGAAATCATTGAGAGTAATACATTTGGTATTAGGGGGAGGAATAATGCCCCATTGTTGGTGTCAGTGGGAGAAATGGTGTCTCGTTGTTTTCAGTTGGCAGAATAGAATTGTATCAGAGGGAGAAGAGTCCCAAGGCCTGAGAAAGGCAAGCAAAGGATCACATCTGGCCCCCAGGCTGCAGTTTGAAGACCACTGATCTAATGAGACTTTCTGTATACATTCATTTTTAATTCTAGTCCACAAAACATGGTTTATGTTATTTCTGTTTGAACTGCAGGTTGCAATATTCAGGATGCTCTGGAAGGCCGCTGCGAGTCCAGATAGGGGAACATTTTTGTTCAGATCATTGCCTCACAGCATTTAAACAATCCAGTGTTGCTAAACATTTTTGGAATGTACACAGAAGCACAATGGATATCTTTTATTTTAATGCGATTGCATGTATTGATGATTCTATACATGGGAGAGGTTTATACATTCATTTACTTTAATCCTTTAATTAGGTTTTTGGACCTTTAAGCACAAGACCAGAAAGCTCCAAGGTGTTTTCCTAACTTTAGGTGGGACACTGTTCTCCATTTCTAACATTGCTTTTCTTTCCGTGCTTTTTCTTTTTCCCTTTGTTCAGATGCAATTTTGTCTGTATATTGTGCCTGGAAATCAGTTTTTAATACTGTTGACATTTTGAGATCCTATTGGTAATCTGGTTTAGTTAAGAAAACTCTACTGTGCTATGCAATTGTTTAGTTGGCAGACTTTTAAATAGCTTTAGTCCCTTCTAACCATAACCTGTATTATTTATACTATCTTGTGTGTTCAGCTTGCAAATCCGGACCTAGCTGCATTTTGAAATTGTGCTGCATATAACCACTACCTAAACTTTGCTATTTCTCTGTGGAAACCAGACATTTCTCAGCATTTTTTTGCTCAACAATCTTCCCAGAATCCTTTGTTGTGGTTACCTTGATTTTCATTGCTGCTAGGATATGGAGACTTCTCATCGTTTTCATTGGAGGGATAATCTTCTACATTAATCTACAGGAAGGAGATGAAGCACACTGGTCAAAGATGTGTTCTTAAAAACTGATTTTACAATCAGCAGATAATTGAAAACTAGGATAAGGAGGTGATTTACATAAGCCACTCAAAACTGGGTTACAAAAAAGTTAGTTCTACAGTAGTGGGTGATTGGCTGGAGGTGGGGCATTCCCATGATGTCATTCCCACCTTGGTAGTAGGAGGCGATTCGCCATCCGCAGTGATGGCCTTCAGCTCGATCTTCTCTTTGTTCTCCTCCAGAGCTGGAACCGGAGATTTTCCGATCGTCTCGTTCTCTTGTTTCTTCTCTGGGCTTGCCGTTCTGAGAAAAAGAATAGAATGCATTTGAATTAGTACATGGGGCTTCTGACCACTCTACCAAGGATGGTTAGATAATTTTTTTCATCTACTATATACACCCTCTGGATACCGTGTCAGACAAACTCTCCATAGAAAATTCTAAATGGTTCTGGATTAACCACGTTTAAAATGTATCATTAGCTACATTTATTTCAGTTTTGGAAACTCCTTTTTTGCAGTAGGGAAGTGTTATGTGCCCTTTCAGATCAGATTTTTTTTCAGCTCTTTTTGATTCTCCTTATATATTTGTCCAAGTGACCATCAAACATGTGATTGTAAATAAGATGTTTTTTCTAATTGTCCCTGCAAAAGAAACAGATGGCAAATCTTTCACTGTGGAAATCTGATCCAGTGACAACTGTCAATTCACTTTTGAGAGATTTCTTCTCTATTCCTGCTGTGTTTCTGGGTCAAAAAAGGAAGGAAAGTTTTGCCAATGGGGCATGAACAGCAAAAAAATATTTGACAGAATTTCTCACCATGCCCTACTCCCTCAAAAACTAATAAATACTATAGATTTATTTATTGTGGTTTTTTTTTATATAATGAGATCAGTTTACACAGAGCCTTACATACTATTTATTCACATCAGTCCCTGCCCTCAAATAGCTTACAATCTAAGGTTCCTATTTCATATACATTAGGGCTAATTTAGTATGGAGCCAATTGACCAACCCAGTGGAACCAATGCAAGCACAGAGAACATGCCAACTCCATGTATCCTGATCAGGATTTGAACTGAGGACCCTAGTGTTGCAAAGTAGGTGTGCTAACCATTAGTTCATTGTGCTGCCCATATAGTAAAACAATTTACTCTAAGACTAAAAGATCTGAAAGACTCGAGACAGAAACAGTCAGTTAAGCCATGCAGTGTGTGCGCAGCCCCACTGCAAGGGAGACTTTTTATGTTTCCTGGAGTTTGGCTTTGAGGAATACACATTTGTGTCCATAACACCTACTGTACTATAATAGAGTTACCTTCCTAGAACGTGGTACATTAATGCTGAAGAATATACTACTCAGTTAGACAGCAAACATACCTATACTATAAAGACATACCTATAGTATAAAGCCCAGAAGACACATTGCACCTCATAGGAAAAAAATATACTCCATACATATATTGATATCTAACAAGTACTAAATTCACAGTCCTAAATATAATGCTGGTTTTCAGAGTGTAAAATCTTGTCATATGGAAATTTGGATGCACCCAGGAGAGCTGGCATGAAGGTATGTTCACTGGTCATAATAAAACACTCCAGCACACCAACAAACATTTCCCTTAGACCTTTTGATTGGTCAGGGTTGCCTGTCCAGGGACAATAAAAAATGGTTGAAGAAGAAGCTGGATCTTTTCTTAAGGAATACTAAGGGTTATTTATAAGGGCCAGTGACTCTTGCAGCATCAGACTGGACTTAACCTTCAAGTGATCCAAACTCTGCACTGTACCAGGCAAACTCCACTGAAGTATTTTTTTCACTTTTAAACACTTGTATTTTACTGTTGCTAATTTCTGTATGTGTAATATTGTTTCTAGACATATTTTTTGAACCATTTTTCCTTTCTTTTAATTTAAATGTTATTACTTACACTGCTAAATTGAATCTCGGAATGTTCTAGCTAGAAATTAAGAGCTGTGCCTCTCTCTAGAGAAGCTACTGTAGTGGAAACTGTTTATATTGTTTTCTGGGTGTGACAGCGACTGCTCTATTGAGCTGGTGCATAGATTGCAGTATTGCGTATGGAAAAACCTTTGAATAGGGTGAGGCTGAGACTGGGTGTTGTAACAACCCTCAGTTCTTCTACTAAATGTAACAATTTAAAAATAAAAAACACAAAAAGCCCTCCAATCTGAACAGCTGGAAAGAATGTAAATTTTATTTCTGCAGACACTCTTTAAAGCTTGTGAGACATGTGCGATAAGAGGAAAAGTAGAAGAAATTGCCATATTACTCAAAGTCTACAAAGTCCAGAAACCTTAAAAAGCTTTCACTGATTTACCGAGCAAGTTTCTTCCTCTCCTTCTCCTCCTCCTCCTCCTTCTGTGCAGAGGTTAGGCTTTCTGCATCTGCCAGATTGTCCACAGCAATGGCCAAGAAGACATTCAGCAGAATATCTGACACAAGAGTTAAGGAATACAGGGAGACCCTTAATAGCATCCATCCATAATGATTAAAAATTGATTAACAGTGGAGCAGAGCTCAGTCTTATCCCTTTGCATCTCTATCCCATAATTCCATTTTCATCTCCAAGACCAGTCTGTAAAGTAGACCTTTCAAGCCTAAATGAATAAATTCCTGCCTTTATGACCAAATGATGCAATTGTAGAGTGGAAATAAAACCACTGGGGGTGTGGTTTTATAACCAATTGATGCCATTTTAGGTTGGAAATAAAAGTTTTGGGGATGTGGCTTTATGGCCAATTGATGCCATTGTAGGTTGGGAATAAGATTACCTGGGGTGTGGCCTTATGGCTATTTGATGTAATTTTAGGTTGGAAATAAGAATAATTGGGGTGTGGGGGTGGCTTAGTCCACAATTTTGGAGTGACTTTCCCTTCATGCCCTTGCATTTGCAGGATACAGTTTCCACAGATGAAGAGGATTATGAAGTAGATGCAGACGAGCATCCCAGGAAATGAGGGTCCACCATATGCCATGATACCATCATACATCACTGAATTCCAGTCCTCTCCAGTAAGGATCTGCATGAGATACAATAAAGCAAAAGGAATAAGGAAAAACAAAACTTTTCATGTCATTTCACAACACAGATTACCAGATATTGGAAAACACATGCACTAAACATTACTTTTTATTTAAAATTGCCAACTACCTTTATTTTAGGAAAGTTACAGCTGCTTCTCAGAGAGAAGCTTTTTTAATAGAACCCTGTTCCTACAACTGCCTAGTACACAAGCATAAAGCAAAGTTTTAGCTTGTATTTGCAGCCCCTCCTCCTCATTAGCATGGCATTGTTAAGCATGAGAAAAAAACTCAAGCTCTTAGTATACAAATACTGTTTTCCAGAATGAGATGTGGTGCTATTCATGATGTAGCAGAGGGTTTGGGCGCTACATGCCTGTTTGGGGTAGATAACATCATGATCAATAAAGTGCTTCAGCTGATAAACCATCTAAAATAAAAGCAGAAGCCACCCTTCTGTGCTTAAGCTGCATGGTCAGGAAATATGGAAAACCTAAGACGGGAAGAAGTCTCAAATATAGTGTGTCACGCTTCATGCTATTGAACCTTTGTCATTTAAACATCAAGAAGGGACTAGAAATGTTTAAAGTGGAAAGCTCCTTTAAGGCTGCACTCCTGGAAGACAGTGAGCAGGGCCTGTGGGAAGTTGTCAAAGGTGCTGCGGCGGGTCTGCATCTCGTCAAAGTTGAACTTTCCCCCGAAGAGCTGCATCCCCAGCAGGGAGAAGATGATGATGAAGAGGAAGAGGAGGAGCAGCAGGGAGGCGATGGAGCGCACAGAATTCAGCAGAGAGGCCACCAGATTACTGAGGGAATTCCAGTACCTGAGAGACACACAGACAGATGCTGAGCAAATATAACTAATCCAAAAATCCATACCTTACTTTACCTGCATAAAGCACTCTGAGTGGTTGGTTGCTCTGGAGTTCTGCACCCTATTAAAGCTGAACTCCAGGATTCAACCATCATTGCACCTTTAGCTCCCTCCCCCCTTTTCCATCAAAAGCATTATTACAGTTTTTTAATTTGTGTCTTACTTTATCTGCCTTGTGGCGTCATTGTTTGCTATCTAAAACTGCACTGTGGCCAGGTGCCTGGGGAGGACCTATAGATGCAATGCATGTGAATTAATGGCATTGTGAGTGTGTATGTAGACAGTGCCCAGAGGTATTTTTACAAATAGCTGCCCTTTGGGAGGGTCAGAAGAGTGACTTATGTCACTGCTCCCTTATCTAAACTACAGAGAGGAGGAAAAAGGCCTGGGAGCTATAGGGAGATAACGGTGGGGCCTGATCCTACTACATGGAAGTTGCCCTGTACAGGGAAAATACGGAACATGTTTGTGGGAGAAAATGAACTTCAAAAAGAAGGAGAGTATTTTTGGACAAGGCAAACATACAGCTTACATATATTAGTTGCTACTGATGTTCCACTTTAAAGCCCAATTGAACTTTCAGTTTAAATCAGCTAAATACATTTCAAGTACATCAGTACAAAGATGTGCAAAAGTCTTACAATTTAGTTTGTAGAAAGCAGATGTAGCATGAGCATAAAAGCCTATGCCCTGCCAGCATGCTGCAGAGAGGGGCCCTCTGTATGAAAGCTGTGGTCTCTCTCTTTACAGCCATACAACTCCCAGTGACATGTGTGGTGGAGGGGGTACCTGGTGATCTTGAATATCCTGAGAAGACGCACGCAGCGCAGGACAGAGATGCCCAGAGGGGACATGATTTTGGTTTCTACCAATATGGTTTCCAAGATCCCCCCACAGACGATGAAGCAGTCAAAGCGGTTGAAGAGGGAGACAAAGTATGCCTGGAGCCCCAGACTGTACATCTTCAGGAGCATTTCGGCAGTGAAGAGTGCCAGGAGGACCTTGTTTGCTGTGTCTGAAACAGGCAAGATAAAATGTTTCAAAACATTACCAGCATATTCAATTACCAAGTGAACAGCAAATGGCCAATACTTTAGAAACCAATATAGATAAACAATAATTGTCTATTTGGTAAGCGGGGATCATGGCTTTCTTTTGGTGGTCTTATCTTCTGAAAATGATTTAGAAGGAAGAAAAAAATAAGAAAAACTATTTGTTTATTTAAAGTCCTGACCAGAGGATGATTATAACAACTAGTGTTAGCCCTGGTTCACACCAAATGTGACATTAAAATCATGCTACTTCACTTGAAGTAGTGCGATTTCAAAGCCCCAGGCCCAGGGTAATTTCATATGCGGCTTGCCTGACATCTGTGTGACTTCATGCACAGATGTCAATGCAAGTCACACCTGAAATCGCTGAAAATAGTGCAGGAACTTTTTTCAAAATTGGTGTGATTCAAACAAAACTGGAGTCGCACCGATGTGAACGGTTCCATTGGCAACAATAGGGTGCAACTTGTTATGTGATTTGGAACTGTCAAATCCCATCACAAGTCACACTGGTGTGAACCGGGGCTTACTGTCAATACAAAGTACAAATGTAATTCTGTTACCTGCTCCATTTATCACAACTCTATGATGTTATTATGAAACCATCTGGTAAAGTTTTTCCAAACAAAATTGAGTTTTTTCAAATACATTAATAACTCAACATGGGGGAGAAAAGAACTAATTTGCATTATCAACTAATCAACTAGGGCTAGAAATAATATAATCTTTGTAAAATCTTAAAAACGTAGGATTATTGTTGCAGATGAAGTTACAATGAGATCAGGGAAGTCTGTGATGTGCAGTAACAGACTCACGGTGTGTTAAAGCAGCCTTAAAATGGAAGTCTGTACAAGAAAACCCCCAAAAAACTGAAAACAAATGACAAATATGCTGCAGGTTGTCAGTCACATTCACACAGCAATTTTGTTTTTTCTGAGTCACCCCATAACAGTTTTATGAATCATTGTTCCTGCAAGTAGATCCATTATTTTTCCACTTCCTGTAAGCTTGTGTGAATGAGGCTTCTCTTTATGTGTTACATTAAGAGCATTCTGTGTGAGAGGTTCATCATTTGATCTCGGCTCGGTGCTTCTGCATACCTTGCACTTCGGTGAGCCAGTCGGGTTGGTTGTAGTGCTCGGAAGCAATGGTGAGCGTGTTCAGGAAAACCAGAAATATCACCAGCCAATAGAAGACGTTAGATTTCACCGCCGCCCGGCACTTCCTCCGACAAAACCGGTTCCAGCGCCGCCAGTAACGGCTGCAGAATGTTGTAAACAGGGATAGGTGTTACACAAGAAGTAACAACGCAAAAATAACCAAACCTTGCGGGTTGTGAGATAGCTCTGCTGTACTCAGAATCTGGTATTGCTGTGCATAATTTCATCCTCTTCAATTAAGCGTTGGCAATAAAATCTGGAAGCTGATTGGTTTCTATGCAGAGCTGCACCAGATTTTGCACTTTCCAGTTTTAGTAAATAACCAGCATAATGTGTCCCATTGTATCAGTTTATAACTATTAAATTATTATTCAAGCTGAACTCCAGGCAGATACAAAAGACACAAGTTAATGCAGCTCTGTGTTCATGAATACATTATAAAACAGTTGCAAGAAAAAGTATGTGAACCCCTTGGGATTACGTGAAGTTTTGCATGAATTGGGCATAAAATGTGCTCTGGACATCATCTAAGTCACAACAATAGAAGAACACAGTCTGCTGAACATAATACTACACAAACATTAGATGTTGCCATGGTTTAACTGCACATAACATGTAAACATTCACAGTGCAGGGAGGAAAAAGTATGTGAACCTTTGGACTTAATAACTGGTTGACCCTCCTTTGGCAGCAATAAACTCAACCAAACGTTTCCTGTAGTTGCAGATCAGACCTGCACAACGATCTGGAGTAATATTGGACCACTCCTCTTCACAAAACTGTTTCAGTGTAGCAATATTCTTGGGATGTCTGGTGTGAATCGCTCTCTTAAGGTCATGCCACAGCATTTCAATCGGGTTGAGGTCAGGACTCTGACTGGGCCACTCCAGAAGGTGTATTCTGTGCTGTTGCAGCCATTGTTTTGTTCAATTGCTTGTATGCTTTGGGTCATTGTCCTGTTGGATCACCCATCCTCTGCGGAGCTTCAGTTGGCGGACAGATGGTCGTACGTTTTCCTGCAAAATGTCTTGATAAACTCTGGAATTCATTTTCCCATCAATGATAACAATCCGTCCAGGCCCTGAGGCAGCAAAGCAGCCCCAAGCCATGATGCTCCCTCCACCATGTTTTACAGTGGGGATGAGGTTTTGATGTTGGTGTGCTGTGCCTTTTTTTCTCCACACATAGTGTTGGTGTTCTTCCCAAACAACTCAATCTTGGTTTCATCTGTCCACAGTATATTTTGCCAGTAGTGCTGTGGAACATCCAGCTGCTCTTTTGCAAACTTCAAACGTGCTGCAATATTCTTTTTGGACAGCAATGGCTTCCTCCGTGGTGTCCTCCCATGTACTCCATTCTTGTTTAATGTTTACCTTATTGTAGATGTGTCAACAAAAATGTTAGCATGTGCCAGAGATTTCTGTAGGTCTTTAGCTGACACTCTGGGATTCTTCTTTACCTCATGCAGCATTCTGCGCTGTGCTCTTGCAGTCATTTTTTACAGGACGACCATGCCTAGGGAGAGTAGCAACAGTGCTAAACTTTCTTCATTTGTAGACAGTATGTCTTACCGTGGACACATGAACATCAAGGCTATTGGAGATACTTTTGTAACCCTTTCCAGCTTCATGCAAGTCAACAATTCTTGATCGTAGGTCTTCTGAGAGCTCTTTTCTGCGAGGCATGGTTCACATCAGACAGTGCTTCTTGAAACCAGTAAACCCAAAACAGGTGTGTGTTTCTTAAGGGCAGGACAGCTGTCAGCAACACATCCAATATCATCACACTGATTGGAGTCAAGGTTGGCTCACTCCTGGCTCCAATTAGCTCTGGGAGAAGTCATTAAGCTAGGGCCTCACATACTTTTTCCTCCCTGCACTGTGAATGTTTACATGTTTTGTGCAATTAAACCATGGCAACATCTAATGTTTGTGTAGTATTATGTTCAGCAGCCTGTGTTCTTCTATTGTTGTGACTTAGATGACGTTCAGAGCACATTTTATGCCCAATTCATGCAAAACTCCACATAATCCCAAGGGGTTCACATACTTTTTCTTGCAACTGTATTTCTCTCCAGTGCAATGAACATGCTGATAGATGGAGAGCAAAGTGACAGCGAGATGAGCTCATCAGTCTGCTGCTTCTATTTTCTCTGTCCAATCACAGAATGGGGGAAGGAAAAGATATCTAAAGTGTTGCTGAACTGCAATAGAGAAAAACCAGGTCTTGCCCAGCCAGACAGGGCTGTGCTGTTTGGCAGAGCTATGTAACTCCTTGGACTGGATGTATAAAAATACCAATTCTTTGGCAGCTAAAACAGCTTATATATATATATAGTCACAAGTTAGCTTGCGGGCTCTTGTGTGTTTACTCTTACCTCCTTGCTGCTCTTGATTTCTTCACATGTGTTTGTCTGTGCTCTCCTGTGGGCATATGTCCTTCCCTTCCATCACTTCCTGTCCCGCCTCCTTGTCTGCCTGTCTATTTAAGATATGCTTAGACTAGGCCACATTGCCTGAGCAACTTCGTGTTGTTGGAGCCCCTGTGTGTTTCCGCTGTATATCCAGTGTTGTCTATCTGTGTACCGACCCCCGGCTTCGTTCCTGACCTTGCTAGTTTTTCCACCTGTCCTGACCTCGGCTTGCTCATTGGATTCCCGGTGTCTTCTCCCTTGCACCCTGTTCTTGCTAGCGGTCTCCTCCACCTCAGCTGGGTGTACCTGGGGGCCACGACCTGGTCCCAACCTGCTGCACGTCCATCCCCACCATCAGGGCCCTGGTGAACAAGCAGGCTGGGGCTTAGATTCCGTGCCCTGGGGAACCCTAAGCTGTGGTTTTATAGAGCTCACTACCATAGACGTGACATATATATATATATATATATATATATTGAATCTACAGTATGTGTTTAGCTGTTTGCCTGGAGCTCAGCTTTAACTGATACATATACAGTGGGGAAAATAATTATTTGATCCCCTGCAGATTTTGTAAGTTCGCCCACTTACAAAGAAATGAAGGGTCTATGATTTTTTATCATACGTGTTTTTTTAAATGATAGAGACCAAATTACAACCAAAAATCCAGAAAAAAACACACATGATACAAATGTTATAAACTGAGTTGCAGTTCAGTGAGTAAATTAAGTATTTGATCTCCAAGCAAAACATGACTTAGTACTTGGTGGAGAAACCCTTGTTGGCAAGCACAGAGGTAAGACCTTTGTTGTAGTTGGTTACAAGGTTTGCACACATCTCAAGAGGGATTTTGGTCCACTTTTCTCTAAATCCTTAAGGTTTCTTGGCAACTTGAAGTTTCAATTGACTCCATAAATGTTCTATAGGATTAAGGCCTGGAGACTGGCTAGGCCACTCCATGACCTTAATGTGCTTCTTCTTCAGCCACTGTTGTTGGCTTGGCGGTATGTTTTGGGTCATTGTCATGCTGGTAGACCGATCCACAACCCATCTTCAGTGTTCTGGCTGAGGAAAGAAGTTTCTCATCCAATATATTACAATACATGGACCCATCAATTGGCCTCTTAATGTGGCACAGTTGGCCTGCACCTTTAACAGAGAAACAGCTCCAAAGCATGATGTTTCCACCTCCGTACTTGACTCTAGGGATGGTGTTCTTGGGGGCATAGCCAGCATTTTTCTTCCTCCAAACATGGTGAGTAGAGTTAATGCTAAAGAGCTCAATTACAGGATTTCAATCCATGGCAGTGTATTGTGATACCAATAGTTTGTTTGGTGACTGTGGTCCCAACTACTTCATTCACAAGCTCCTCCAGTGTAGTTCTGGGCTGATCCCTCACTTTTCTCAGGATCAACCTTACCCCATGAGGCAAAATCTCGCATGGAGTTCCAGACCGAGGGTGACTGATGGCAATTTTACATTTTTTCCATTTGCAAATAATCACTCCAACAGTCGTATCCTTCTCACCAAGCTTCTTGCTGATGGTCTTGTAGCCCATCCCAGCATTGTGCAAGTCTACAATCTTGTCCCTGACACCCTTTGACAGCTCTTTGGTCTTGCCCATGATGGTAAGGTTTGAATGGACAGGTGTCTTTTATACACATAATGAGCTGCCATTAGAAGCATTTTCTTAAATTAACAGGACTAATCTGTGTAAATAGCCAGTCTGTGGGAGCCAGAATTATTGCTGGTTGGTAGGGGATCAAATACTTATTTTACTCACTGAACTGCATCTCAATTTATAACAATTGTATCATGTGTTTTTTTGGATTTTTGGTTGATATTCTGTCTCTATCATTTAAAATACACTTATGATACAAATAATAGATCCATCATTTCTTTTAAGTGGGCAAACGTATATAATCTGCAATGGATCAAATCATTATTTTCCCCACTGTACACTCTTCTTTATGTATATAAAAAAATTTTTATATAGATTTGCATCTTGACTGTTTTGCCATGACAGAATGAGTAGGACAATTTAAGTGCTTATATTTAGGGCCCATTTATATTTTTTTCAGCTAGTTAATGCGCAATATGTCATGCTTTAATGTGTGTTTGTGTTAAAACAGCTCATTGAAAATAATGGGCTGCCAATGCACCAAAATATCCTAAAAAAATCGTATATATAAAAAACTTGTAACACAATGCACCACTACACTCCATAGTGGGCTGCTTTAGTGCATTACCACAACGCAATAGCATATAAGGGCCCTTAATGATTTCAGCTTAATTAGATGTGGGTTCTATAAATAAATGACTTCACTTAAGTATTTCACATTAGCAAATACCATATCAATAATACTATTATTATGGTATTGTAATTTTTATTATTAAATATATTACAGTTCTTGTAGGTTTCGCTATCCGTATTCTTATCATGAAGCAGTGCTGTTTATATGTATTACCCTTGGATAGGTCTTATTTCTGCTCTGCCCTCTGCATCACATACAGTTGTGGCCAAAATTATTCAACCCCCACTGAAATTGAGTGTTTTGGCCAGTTTGACATTGCTTTTGATCATTCAGTCATCTTGCTTACATTTACATTAAAGAGGCACTTGTAGGTCAGACAAATATAACATAACAGTTATAATGAAATAACCACAAATGTCTTTTCTGTGCTCA